TCAGGCGTCCACGATACCATTAAAGGCAAGAATGAGCTAGACATAGTGGCGCATGCCTTTAATCCCAGCACTCGGGAGGCAGAAACAGTTGGAATCCTGGGAGTTTGAGGCCAGACTGGTCCACAAAGTGAGTTCTAGGACAGCCACAGCTACATAACAGAGAGGCCTTGTCTCAAAAAACAAAAAAAGGCAAGAATGAAATAAAACAGCCATACATGAACCAATATTGACAACGAGCAAGGGATTCTGCTTAAATCAATTCTGAGGTATGCCGAGTTAAAGGAGAGAGAGAGCCCAAATGACATGGTGGATAGTTTCATAATCCTCCCAAGACACACGAGGCCTTGGAAGTTCATTCAAAGATGAGCACAATAAGCACCAGGAGCCAAAGGAGAGAAACAAGCAAACCGCTGTGGGGGTGGGCAGAGAAGATGAGGATCTCCCATCATGCCCCACTGCTGCAGCCACCTCAGCCAGGACTCCCACCCTGAGCTGTCAAATTAAAGGGTCCATGACTTCATTCCTGTCCAGCGGGGCAAATAGACTTAAGAGCCAGCAGTGGGGGTGGTCTGAGGATGTGTCCATAGGATAGCAGGCACCTGGGAGGCCACTGTCCCCCAAGGAAGGGACATTCCTGCCTGAGATGAGAGTCATAAAGACCACAGGGGGCAGAAAGGAGGATCTCAGACTGTCCTTGCCATGACATCTTTGTGAAGTCCCCCTGACTTGTGAGAGTCACAGGAAGGGAGCAAATGGCAGGCTGCCGTTTCCTGGCCAAGGGACTCCTGAGTCCTGTGTAAGGACAAGGGGGCTCCTGCATACCCAGGTAGCGATAAAGATCGTTTGCCGCAGAGTTGGTACACAGAGCATCACCAGAAGGGACTGCTGGCGGAAAGATGGCCCTGAGAGGGGAGAAGGAAGCAGCCTGTGGACCTCTGGGCTTCACCCGAAGGAATGGAGGACGGCGCAACATGCTGTCATAGTTTGGATACTGGGGAAACAAGGCACTGTGAATGGCGCACAGTGTGCTTAGATAATTCATTCACCGTTCCCAACCCAGAGGCTATGTCCCTAACTACTGTCAAGAAAGAGAAGCAGAGAACGCTGACAGGCCGAGCCTGGGACAGCACACGACAGCGCATTCCCTGCAGCTGTGGCTAGAGAGACAGACAGCTTCTCCATAGACAACAGTCGGCAGAGAGCAAGGCAAAAAATCCCCAGAGGCCCATCATTGCACTGTGCTCAGCAGGTGATGTCTGCCTGGGTGAGGGATGGGGTGCTCTGGTATGGGTGCCGATGTGGGTCAAGGGTGGCCACACGGTTGCAAAGAGAGCTGCTAACCTTAAAGCTTTCCGCCCAGGCCTCCAGCAGGGCTCAGTAAGAGAAGTGTGTGCATGTGTGTTTCCCCTCCTTTACTTGTATTCTCTATTTTCACATTATCACTAGGGCCTGCTCACACCCATTTAACCTTATTCTGGAGAGGCCGTGAAGCTACCTTGGTGGACTGTTAATGAACTAATATTCAATATTCATGTCTTCCAATTCTGGTCCAGATGACAGGCTACTCTGGGAGGCCCTAGTCTGACCAGCCAGCCATGCCCAGGAACCTACTCTTTTTTTCCTTCATGCCCTCAACCAACATCCCTGTCACCTTTCTCTGATCTGCCTGCCATGTCTCCTCGGCCAAGCCCCCACAGGTCAGCTACACCTGACCTGTGGGCCTAAAGTCTGGGGCTTCCAGGAACCCAGCGTGCCACCACAAGCCAGAAGCTGGGTGTGTTAGTCAGATTTCCAAGGCAATTCTACTTCTGCGCTTTCTCTTCCTGGAGGGAGGAAAATGCATAGCAGCTTAATCACAAGGGCTTTGATGTGTGCTGCCGGATGGTCTCCCACGACGACGGCTGCCCCAGCAGGCTGTGGCCAGGGGCCTGACGTAGCTGCTGTTGTATACGTGTGTGGGTTCATAAAGTCAGACTATAAATAACTATTCCCCCATGTGTAGGAATGCACACTTGCATATGCGCATCAATTTTTCCTCCTAAACAATCTATTTTCAAAAAAAAAAATCTCATCTAACAGCAAATCCAGGAAGGAGCCCAGCACCTCGCTGCCCTCCACCATTGTGCCTGGCACGTCCCCTCTGTGACCCTGCAGATGAGGTCGATGTGCTGTAAGATGATGGGTGAAGGGTCGGAACCGGCATACTTCTCGTTTATTTTTTTATTCTAGACTACTCCTTCCTAAGTAGTCTTCTTTTCTCTCTGTTCCCCGTCTGCCCTGCTTCACCCCGATGAGTCCCTGGAGACCCTTGATCCTGATTACCTCCCGGATGTGTAACTTCAACACCACACCCGGATGTATGTAATTCACACATAAAGAGTAAGCTTCGTTTCACCCTCCTAAGTAGGAAACTTCACGGCCTTGGTACACGATATCGCCTGTGGAGCACATGTGCAGAGCTTCGCCTGGTGAAGTCCTCAGTGTCATCTGTCCCCATCCCCAGCTCCTAACTCAGCAGGTTTAGAGGGGCCCAGATTTCACATCTCCAGCAATTTCTTGAGTGATGCCAATGCCGCTGGTCTGGGGACCTCTGTTGTCATAGATACTGAGTGTTCTCCGGAGCCCATGAGCTGGGGTTCAGTGCCTGCTCTGCCACTTAGCAGCTATGGCCTTTGGCCAAGGGAGGCATACGTTTTGTCTTTCCCAGTCTAGAAATGGATTAATGTCTGTCTCTCCTTCATTGACTCTTAGGAAGGAGAACTTGTGATCAGCCAGACCAGTTGGGGTTCTCCTCTCCTCAGTCCTTGGTATGTGTGTGCACGTGCGTACGCATGCGTGCATGTGTGCAGAGAACAGACGGGGAGACATCAACTGCTATAAGAGATCTGGCCTTTTTCCTTCTGTCTTTAGATTTTGTTTTTCTACCATCCCTCCTTTCCTTGATCCCTTTTTCCCTTCCTCCCTTTTTTCAATTATTTTATTTATTTTTGCAACAAGAGCCTCATGTAGCCCAGGCTAGCCCAAACTCACCCACCTGCTAAGCAGCCAAGGATGACCTCCCACCTTTCTGCTCCTTCTGCCTCCAGCGAGTGCTGATATCAGAGGTGTGTACTGCCATGGCCAGTTTTATGTAGCAATGGAAGGCTAAGCGAGCATCCAACTAACTGAGCTACATCCACGGCCCTAGGGTTCTTAACCTCATCTTATAGGTTAACACCATGAAGCCTGCAACAAGTCAAACATCCTTCGGAAATACAACTCTGGCCGGAAGCAAAGCATGTTCTCAAACCCACCAGTTTGGATGCTCTGTCCAGGGCTCTGTATGGGGAAGACAGCATTCCTTGCAGTAGGACTGTCCTGTTAGAGGAGGGATGTGACTAGGGATGTGGCTAGGCTACTCAGACTTCAGGCTGGGACAGGAGCCCTTAAAGGCCTTTGTAGCCTGGCATGGGGAGAATGATGCCCCTGGTGCCCAGGATGGCAGGCACAGGAAGACATGGGGCTTATGCCAAGTCCTCAGTGGGAAAGAACCCTGTCATTCATCAGGCTCGGTGTGGTCATGAGGGGCTGGGAACAAACTGATAATGATGGAGCCATAACTTACCACGAAAGGCCTCTTTGTTCTCGGCAAAACAGAGGGATCATTAGTAGTGGGGAGAACACTTGTGGCCGATATAAATCCCCTTGCTTGTGGCTGATAAACAGCCCCAAGGGGACAGGGCCTCAGGTGTGGATGGGTCAACTGCATGCTCCGGATCTGAGCCTGTGTGTACCTGGTTGGGGCAGGTGGGTCTTGATATAAACCCAGAAGCCCTTCCAACCAGCCCAGGCTGCTGAGGCACCTGAGGTTCAGGTGGCCCCCAGGACCCGAGAACAACAATCATTGCATGAGTATATATCAGGGTCTACTCTGGGCTGGTCCCTGTCCTGGGTACCAGAATGGGGACATGGTAGAAAGCATCAGAGGGATTCAGCGATGCAAGTACCAGTTCCTACAGATGCTTAACCCAGACTGGCTGCATCTGCTCTCCTTTGGGGCTCATTGGGCTTACAATGCTCACCACAGGAGCAAGTCACATGATCTATAAACCACTTTGACGCAAGTACTCTTCCTGTTCCCAATATATGAGTGACAAATAAGACAGGGACCCAACCAACACAGCCAGCTTGGGAGAGCCTCCCTTTTCCCTCTAGATCCCCATGCCTTTCTCTCTTTTGGGAAATGCTCTGACCATGTCACTCTATTTTCTTGGGGTGCAGGCTGGGGTGGCCTGACTTTCTCCTCCTCCTGATCTGTCTGGCTTGCTTGAATTCACCAGGATGACCCTTCAGAGACTGTGCACTGGACAGGGACACTATGAGCAGGTATGCATGGAGTAGGTACAGAGCCAGTGTTTACGAGTGGGGGTAACTTAGCCCCTGGACAGCGCCTCAGAGCTGTCACGGGTTGGTCTCTGGGTGAGGCATGCCTGAGCTGGGCATCTTCTCACGCAGAGCCATCAATTAAGTCGGTTGCTATTCTCCACGGCCAAGGGATCTATTGGTTGGGAGGGGGCCGCGGTGTCTCCCGCCGTGATACCCTTGTGCTACCTGAATGCCTGTCAGCTGGAAGTGTGACTAGAACACGAAATCAGACAGGAGCAGTTCTATTTGTTCCAAAGTGATGTAAAAATTGCCACCTTTTCACCAAATAAGAACAGAAATCCCAGCGCACGGAAGGAGGTGAGATAAGGGTCACCACATTCCAGGCTCGGAGCCCCAGAAGTCCCGCAGCTTCAGACCTTGGACGGTAGCACACATTCCTCTTCCCAGGGCCCCCAGACAGCACAGCCTTTTAACCCTGTTCCTCCCTTTTAAGTCTGTTCCCTTCCTTTGCAAGGACTGTAACTAGAGACGGGTCTGAAATGCCAGTCCATGTAGTCCACAGCTCCTTGAGCCTGAGCCCCCAGCAGCAGTGGCTCCCTTGGGATATGTGACAAATGCCGCAGACTTGGGCTTACCTGAGACAATCGTGTAGCCAATCCCCCGGGGTCTCCCTTTATCCTGGTCCACGGCAGTGATCACCCGAACAGTAGTGCCCTGGTTGGGGGAGAGAAGGCACTTGAGTCAGTCACCTGCATTCCAGACTGCTATCTTTCTTTGTGGGTGTCCTAGCATTCTTACTTTCCCTCCCCAGGCCAACTCCCAACTACAAAGCTTACCACCCGGGAAGTGGGTACCACGTGACATCACTCCTGACTCCAGGGACTTCGTTTTCAGCCCCCATTCCCTCACAACACTGATGGTCAAGGGACTGGGAGCTGACAGAGTCAGGGAAGGGAGTATGGACTTTCTCCTCCCAGAGCAAATGGTCAAGGACAGGCAATAGATAGACAGTTGCTGAACACATCTGGGGGCGATGAGATGGACAGATGCACAGGAAAGGATGGGTATCCACATAGTCCACCCGGTGGAACCTGGAAAGGGGTGTCCAGATGGCAGCCTTCAGGATGGATCGCAAGGAATTAGCAGGAGTTCCTCGAGGAAAGAAGAAGAAAGGGAAAGCGCCCAGGGAGAAGGTACAAGACAGGCCAGGGCTTGGTTGTGTGTACTTCTAGGAAGGGATGCTGGTAAGTAACCGTGCATTGATGGCAGTTCATTGAATGAACAAGCAAATGTACGCAAGGAAGAAATTGACATCGTCATCACCATGGCCACCACTTGCTGAGCTGTCCTTTGCCAGGAGCAATTGCCATCCCCCTCTCCAGGCTCCCTCACACCACTGCATAGGTCGGCTGTCCCTGTCCACCCTGTACCTGAGGGTTATGTCCTAGAAGGTTTCCCTGGGAGAGGAACAGTTCTGGTGGGTGGAAGTATCCTCCCAGGACTCACAAGTCTGAAAGGGCCCTGTCTGTATCTCACTCGCTCACCTTCACCTCCACTTACTCACCCCTGAGGGGCAAGCGCATCCCTCCCAGTCCTCCCAGGCTAGCTGTGAAGACACAGCAGGAGCTGCACCTCCTCCCCCAGACAGCACTGCTCTTCCCAAAGGCCTTTTCCAGCCACCCTTAGCCTACAGTGCAGAAGATGGAATGCCTCCAAGCTCCCTGAGGGAATGTGGGACTATCTCAGGATGTGTGCAGAGGCCAGGCCATATGGCAAGCAGGCCCAGCCCCTTCTTCGTCCTCTCACCCAGGGAGCAAGAGTTCTGGTTGGATCCTCTGGACCTGTTAAGGAGTTGAATAAGCTATGAGAAGAACCAAGTGGCCACACTGAAAAGCACACCTTCCTAGGCACAGAGGGTTGCTTTAAATGCTGGCCCAGTGAACTCAGGTGCCCCAGCTGCCCAATGTTCTAAAGCCTGGCCCTTTTCTGCAGCTGAAGAAACAGAGGCAGAAAGCCGAGAGACTTCTGGAGATCCCAGAGCAGGGAGTGAGTGAACGGGAAGCCAGCCTCATATTTAAATGCTCTGGCTCTAATGTTCCTGTCCACCAGGTACGGAGGCAGCTGCAGGGTTCTGCTATAATAATGCTAATGTCATTTCCGAATGTCACTGCTCTGTGTCAGGAACTATTCTGAGCACTGGCTCCTGTGGAACTTGGAAAGGCCTACATGCCAGCCATCCCTGGAGATGCCATGTGTTCTGGATTGATCAGGGGCCAAGGGGTAGACTGATCATTTCGCTCTCCCAAGCTTTCTCTCATGGAGCCTGGAGGGCCCCTGACTCATGGGTACATCGAGGCCACCAGGGAAGCCCAACTCTATACTTGAAGGACCTACACAGCTTCCTCCATCATCCCACTGAAGGCTCTTTTGGGGGACCTGCCCACCTAGGGGCTCACTATTCATCAGGGGAGGTTTGGTCTATCCCCAGAGATGGTCCTAAGGGAATACAGCTATCCTGAAGCTTCAACTTCCTGAACTGGCTTTCTAGACATGGGGACTCACCTGCCAGGGCGACTAAGCTCAGAGGTCACTAGAGCTCCAGGGCAGAGTTACTAAACAATACACTTAAGGGACAGGTAGAGATGCCTTGCCCTATCCCAGGTAGGTTGGGCTGGGTTCAAGGGGACAGGGTAAGGCAGCTTTGCTGGTCTTTTTCAGAGACGTCTGTGACCCAAAAGCCCCTCGGTCCTCAGAGCTCCGTGGGTGCCATCCGCATGGGCATTCAGGCCTGGGATGGCAATCGGGGGGGGGGGGGAACACAGCAGAAATGGTTATTTGGGACATGAGGAAGAGGGGTCCATCTCCCAGACAAAGTTGGACCCAAGCCTCTGCCGAGCAAGCTCTGCCAGGCTCTCAATCAGGTTCGGGGTTTCATCTCTTTTTGGGTAAATAAATCCACTTTTAATAAAACTCTGAGCTTTTAATACAAGTGCAGACAGAAGGCCTGGAAACGTTATGAGAAGGAATTAACGAGGAGGTATGGGGGCTCTGGGGAGCCCACGGCTCTTGTTTCAGAGTCTCAGTGATTATATTTTCAATATACTGCAACTTATTTCCAAAGACGAGGACTGGGGAGGAAGTGGTGTACCAGCACAGAGCTGGGCCTCCCGAGGATGAGTCCACGCCTACAGCCTGTGGCTCTGTGGGAGGCGAAGTCCTTGGGGGGCACGACCAGGAGGGTGAGTGGATGCTCCTGCTCCAGCCAGAGGGTTGAAGACAGGCCCCTGCTGAGTGATTCTCCCCTTCCCCAGGCACTCCAGTTGTGAAGAGGAGAAGGTGACCTTCTGGGAAGCAAGGCGACAGGTGACAGGCTTGCTAGGTCCTGTCTCCTTGTGACAAGAAGAGAAGCCGGGGTGGCTAAAGGTTTGAGTCCTGTAACTTTATATGTCCTACGTCTTGGTTTTCCATCTATAAAATGGGTATAAGAGGCTCCACTGTCCAGCAACGGATCTGTATATACACACATATGGGTGCGCGCGCACAGAGAGAGAGAGAGAGAGAGAGAGAGAGAGAGAGAGAGAGAGAGAAAGAGAGAGAGAAAGAGAGAGAGGAAATATAAATGACACTATATATTTGGCCCTAGAGAGCTGCTGTGAATACCTAATGCAACCCTGGGTGCCTTGCCTGGGACTATGCATACATTTGCAAACAATTCCAGCTAGTTTGGACCTGGGATATTGCATGCAGTAAGTTCTATTCTCTAGCTAAGGAGTTTTCTCTACATTTGAACAGCTGGTACCCCACGAGAAGAGCCAGTGAAGTGAGCATCTCCTGGGTACCAACCATGTGCCAGGCATGATGGGGATGCGGAGATTCTCCTGACCCCTCCCCCACAGAGGAGGACATATTCCTGTAGCTTTTAGGAATTTGCTTAAGCTCACCAGGCATGATAGGTAGACAGAGTGTCAGTAACTGGGAAAAGGAAGGTTAAACTTGGAATGAGATGCCCGCTTTAGCAGAGATTGGAGGACCAGGACTCTGACTGGTGGGCAGGAAGTGGGGCATGAGCTGGGACTTCACTAGAAGGAACCAGGTACCTACCCAGTGGCCTGTCCCCAGGGAAGTGGCTGCAGGGGGGCCAGACTGGACCGGTGCTGGGTCTCAGAGACCACTACCAATCTCATTCTCTGCAAGCTTAGCAGGGACACCCCAGCCCCCATTTCTCTGTCGCGATTAAGGACTCGAAAGGTGACATGCAGTTTGCTTTGGAGGTGTGGGGAGGGGAGTTAACTGGGGTGGGGGCTGGCTGGTGGGGACAGCTGGGGACTTCCGACGAGAGCTGCCACAGCAGATTCTGAGGCAGAAAATCCTATTTCTCAGTCCTTAATTCCAGTCAATTCCAGTCAAAGGGCTGATAGGCATCGCCGGCAGTAATTTGTGCAGTCTATCCGCTCTTTTCACCTTCTGTCGGCCCCTCACTGACGGGCAGGCCGACATGCTGCCGTTCGAGTGAGGAAATTAAAATTTGATGCAATAATCCCAAATAAGAAGGATTTTATTAGGTAATATATACACTTTAGATGAAGCTTGCTAGCCCGATACACTGATAGAGGGAGGCATACATGCTGGGAACCACAGATAAAGAGGGGGAGCCGGGAGGGTGGGGCGGGGTCTTGACATGGCCCCAGGAAGCAGCAGAGATAGTGCAGGGCATGAGGGATGCCTGGGTTCTCCAGTCTGGGATATTGAACAGGCCATGCTGCATCCTAGCCCCGGCCGAGTGAAGGAATTGAGTGTGTTGAAATCAACCCGCCACACTAAAGGGACACGGAGATCCAGTTCAAGGCTTGGGAACTGATTAGCAGCGTGGAGACATCAGGCCTGGAACATGTGGGAACTGGCTCAGAGGAGAAAAGCTCTAAGGGATGGGAAAGTCGGGATTCCTCTTCCAGGGAAGAACTAAGAGAAGCAGATCCGTGCAAAAGCTATGGAGCTGGTCAATGCCCAGAGCTGCAACTCAGCTCACTGCTTGGTCTGTCTTCCTCTATTGGGCCACAACCCTTGTGAAAGGTACTTATCATGCCCTCACAGTGTGGGTGCGTTTGCTCCCCCAAACTGGCAGACAACGGGCCACACAACCACGAAGAGAAATGTTAAGATCTCTGAGATAAAGAAGACAATCACATGACAAGCGGCAGAGGGACAGTGGGTATGAAGGAAGACACACATCTGATCTGCTCCACGGGATCCTCTAGAAAAGAAGGGCATAGCTTACTTAGCCCAGGACCTGACACACAGGACACCTAATAAATACCTGGGAGATGGATCTGAGGTTGAAGGAGCGAGTGAGTGCACGCAGGGGCAGAGGAAAACTCTGATATCCGACATAGACGCCTGTGTAAGCTATGAAGGCATTGCCACGGGGACTCAGAAGATGCGTGGGTCAAAGACACAGTCTTGTGACTATCTCACGAAGCAAGGGCTAAATACCTCATCTCATGGCTAATGGACACAAGGAATCATCAGCCACCCCAGTTTGATGTCTGTGAGAATGGGTTCTTTCAGGAACCCCCTGCCCTGCGCCATTTCCCAGGATCTGTGTAGATAGCAATGTGGCTTCACAGGGTTCCTCTGGGGACACAGCCAATCTGGTACCAGGATGCACCAATCAAGTTGGCTTTAAGCATCTTCCCCATACCCTCTCCTGGACACAGAGTATGGGGAGACCCGAGAGTATCCCGAGCCGATGTTTCAGAGACAGGATCTGGATCGCTCAGCCTATGCTCCTACATGAACATTACAGGAGAGATGGGATTGACCGGTAAATTATGTATCTTAGAAGTCAGTTGGATTACAGGGGGTGGGGGAGGTGTCTAACTCTGAGATGAATGAGAGACAAGCCAGGGAGAGAGGAGCTGGGAACTGAAGGTCAGAGGGTCTCTGTGTTGGTAACGAGAGCAAGTAAAAGGGTGAGCTGAGTGGCAGGACAAGAGGGCCGAGATGACCAGAGCCTGAGTTCGTTCGTTCATTCATTCATTCATTCATTCATTCATTCATTCCATAGATGCTTCTCAAATCCCACTACACCAAATCCATCAAAGACCACCTCTGCTGGACCTTGATACCAGGCAAGCATGGCAGCAGACGCTTTCAAGCTCTGAACACTCAGATTGAGAAGCCCAGAGCTAGAGACAGGTGGCAGGCCTTGTCCGAAGATGGCAGTCAGGTCTGGCCTAAAGCTGAGATGCAGGACTAGCAATGCTGGGTTTGGTAGCGGAAAGGAAGGAGAAGTCCCTGGATACGGGTGGACTGAGCATATGCAGCCTGAACTTCAGAAGATAGTGCCCTGATCTACCTAGACGCCGAGGACAGGAGTAGGGAGCCTAAGATGACACCGACTGTTCTCCAAGCAGCTCCAGACACCCATGGCAGCAAGAGGATAAGCATCTTGCTGGCAACTCTTCATTCCTATCTGGCCCCCAAAGCAAGTGACCAAACGCCAGCTCCACACCTTTGGTGCCAAGGATACCTGTAGCTAGAACAACCATAGCACCCAAACAGGGCCAGCTACCCTGGCTGCACTGACTTAGGAACTCTGTTCATACCTACCCCTCCCCATGTGTGGGGCTTTGAGTAGTGCAGAGGGGGCAGGGTAAGGCTCTGAGTATCTTCAGTCTCCAGGGGTCCCCCTCACTTTCCCTTTGAGCTAAGCCCTTCCTTTCCTTTCACAAACACTCCCCTAAGATGCATGTTGAAGCATCTGTCTGGGGATGCGCCTCACTGTCCTTCGTCAGCACACAGCAAACATTCCCCTCCAGTCTGCAGAAGAATGAGGTGGCTACCACAGCAGTGACAATCACCCATATTTTAGCCAGGACCCCAGCCAGGCCTCTGTGGAGTGTATCATGGCCTATTTGTGTACTGAGACCTTCACTGGATCAGGGACAGCTATTTAGTCCCAAAGGAACAAAAGGATAGGCCTGTGGCATAAATACAAAGTCAGACATCACCCCTGAAACCTGACCTTGAGAGTCCCCAAAGGAGGAGACATTATGAAGGGCAGATGGCTCCATGAGCTCTAAAGAATAGATCGGGCTCGAGAGAGGAGCCTCACAATAGAAGGAAGCTGTGTCATTGTGTGTGGTGCTCGTGGCCAAGGGGTGCAGCAGGTCAGTGGAGAACATGACCAGGCAACAAGGAGGTCTGGCTGAGCCTAGATCCACATCCACCCCCAGCACAGGCCAGAGTGCTCATGGGTGTCACTACTCATGAATCAGTTCCCCTATGGTCAGTCATACGTAGCTCTCTGTCCCACGGTACCTTCCAGGGAGCATCAGAGAGATGGAAGATAGTGTAATGTACAAAGTGCCTGGGGTCTCCACTGTCCCTCACAGGGACTAGAGGCAGGGAAAGGACAGCACTGGGGCTGCGGGCAGGACTTACCGGAGGAGAATGCTCATAGATGTTGGTGCTGTAGGGCAGGTTGATGAAGATGGGGTCCATGTCCTGCACATCTGTGATGATGATGGCCAGGTTGGCTAATGTAGACAGGGGTCTGGTCTTGTCTTGATCCTTGGAAGACACAGAGAGAAAGAGAGCGAGAGGACACAGTGTTGGGTTATAAGGGTACTGTGAACACACATGCATATATGCATAGGATGTTGGTGTGTGACCCCTGTATTTACAAATACACACATGAACTCTACACTCCTACAGGGAGTCTCAAAAGCACTAAGGCTCTTTGGCTATCCCTGAGATGTTCAAGAAAATGGAAACAGGACATCCTGGAGAGCGGCTGGTGTTACATCAGGGCTTGGGCTGAGGCTGATGTGTTGATCGCAGGGCCATCAGTTTAGGACTAGTTCTCCTGAAAGCCAGGTGGGTGGGGCCACTATCTTGGGTAGGAATGGCGTTGTTCTCAGCTCCGTTGTCCTGTTCATCCAGGGCCACTGGCCCCCCATCTCAGGACAGAGGACACTAAGATGGGGCCCCTCATCTACAGGAAAGGTTCCTCTGACTCTGCTATGCATTTGCCAGGCAGTAACTTTTCCAGTCAAACCAGCAGGGGGAGCTCCAGGGCTCGTACCATCTGGGGGCCTCCTCGAAGCAGTGCTGAGAGAAGTCAGGAAGGCCATGCATGACCCCGGGACAGGACAGGCAATATTAATTAAGCCACTATACTCAAAAACCTTATCCTATAAAGCCCACTAAGAAAGGAACACTAAAGCCTGTGTTCTAAGACCCTAAATGTTCTGCAGACTGAGGTCTGTGTAACATCCCAACATAACCAGCTAGCAAGACCCAATGATAACAAGGACAGTCATGTCTGCCTGTGTTAGTCCTCACTCCACTCACTCATGTGCCCTGGATGGACCTGGCTACCCACACTCCTGTTCGTGCTCTGGTCTAATCCTACATCCCAAAGCCATTCGGGTGCTGGGTAGAGATTACCCCACAGGACAGATTCACGGGGCAAGGGAGCAGGCACTGGATGGGGTGACTGGGAAGGAGGAGGGGGCACAGATGCTGCTAGTGGGTGTGCCCCCAAAGGGGACCCCAGACTTATAACTCTCCTCCACTCCCAAGTCGGTTTTATTTTATTTTTTATTTAGACTTCTTCCTAGGAAACTAATATGTAATTAGGAGAGAAAATAGAAATTCTTGGCAGGGACCTCCCAGAGAATCAGGCAAGAACCTGGCTTTTCCTGGCTCTAGGAGTCTCTTCAAGTCTTAGCCAAGACTGAATGAAAAGTTCTATCTTTCAAAACTCAACCTAGGCCCGATGCAGGGAACTGGGATGTCAGCTGCCATGTGGAATCTGGGGTTGGCTGTTTACCCTGCAGTCACATGGTGTTAAAGCCAAGGGTCCCCTCTGAAGGCTCACAGGGCCAGGGGCAGGTGCCCTCTCTGCATCAGTAGGGAGCCTGGCTTGGGTGCCCTCTTTAGAGCAGTAGGGGGCAAGACTTAGTGCTATGGGTGAGGCCAGTGGACCATGGAGGAAGAAAGGGTTCCATGACTTCTTTGCTCTTAGCCTGAGCTCTGTAAACAGATCCAAGGGACAACAGAATGTTGGGGGTCACTTCTAGCTTTGCAGGCCACTGAAAAGACAGTTGTGCTCCCAGGGGGTCGTTGGAATGAGGACACACAGGGCTAGGAGCCTGCTTAAGGTATGGCTGACTTAACCCTCAGCCCCTCACAATAGCTAGCATCAAAGGCCCAGGTATATGCTGGGAACTCAAGACTCCTGGCCATGGAGCTTGGCATCCAGAGCCCAAAGTCAGACAAAGCTTTGGATTCCCATTTCTCCTCTCTTAATCAACTGTGGGGGTCTCAATGTTGTCATCCACAAAATGGGCTGAACATTCCTCCTCTATCCTGAACTGGTCCATCTTGCAATTCCCTGGGACTGGGCAGGAGGCTTGGCACAGTGGGCATTCCTTGGTGGGGAAGCATTATTACACTATGGGGTTTTGGTCAGAGGTCTGGACTGCTCTGAGCTTGCTTGTTGGGCAGTGTCAGGGCATATCGATGTTGATAACCCTGCCCTGTTTCCAAGAGGCACCTGCACTGACTGTCCTAAGGAGGTTGCCCGTGCAAGCTAAGCAACTGTGTTCATGGGTGATGTGGGTGAACCACGGAATCGCCCCTCTGCCTCAGTCTTCCTGTCAGTATCTGTAAGATGGGCATCTCAACCATACTCACGAGGTGGGGATGTTTGAAGGTTAATGGAAAGTCTCTTTGGGCTTCAAGGACAATGCCAGGGACACGGTGACACTACTGTTTACTACCACCACCATCACCAGATTCTTTACTGTAAATCCTCGAGGAGCATGGAGCTAAATCAAGTCTCCTTGGAATACCCTGTTTCCTTCTAGATGAGAAGACGCAGATGGTAGGCACTGGCGGCCCAGGGCGGTGACTCACCGTGGCGTTGACCGTGAGCTGGTACGCCTGAGTGACCTCGTAGTCCAGCTCCCGGATCACGGTGACGATGCCTCGGGCGCTGTCGATGGCAAAGAACTGAGACGGGGGCTGGAAGGAGTAGAGGACGCTGCCACCGGCACCCAGGTCTGGATCGGTGGCGTTGACGATGAAGATGGGCGTGCCCACTGGTGTATTCTGAGTGAGAGCAAAGTAAATAAGAGGCTGAGTCTCACTTCACCGGAAGCAGCTGCTCCAGTCAGCCGCCATTCCTCTGGCCCCGCAAAGGCCATTAACCGCGCCCCTGCAGCCAACCGAACCCAGCCTGTCATTTCCATTCTAAGCGGGTTCGGAGGAATGTAAAATGCATGATTTCCTTTTTCCCCTTTTTGATGGCCTCCTGGTGGCTGTAAGAGCACTGGGCTCCAAAGACGGCCTGCTTATCCCAGAGTCCTGGAAGAGGGGCCTTTCGGTCCCCAAACCCATTTCTTGGTGGATCCGCTTCCTTCGTCCAGAGCCCCTTGGCTGCCCAAGCTGCAGCAGATTGCCCTGGAGGGTGTCTAGGAACCTTCCTGTGGGACTCTGCCAAGGGCAAGCAAGAGTGGGAGGTGTGTACCTGGATTGGGGGGGGGGGCTTGGAGTCTCCAAGAGGGGGGCCTCCCCTGCCACCCTGTCAGCTGGGTATCTATGGTTGCCTAGCTGGCTCTGCCTCCGAGGAACATTCCAGGATGCTATAACTCTTGTTCTACCATTCATGTAAGCCCTTGTCCCTTTCTGACTCAGGGTGGTGGGTGAAGGCCACTTCCTCACGAGGCTGGGATGGGGCTTCCACCGGAAGGTTGTATACTGTCCTGGTTTATATGCCATGCCCTATAACTCACCACCCTGGCCTGTAGCCTCAGCCAGTTCTCACCCTCCCTTGCAGCCTGCAGTTCCATTGGCCTCGGAGGGTGCCTGGCATGCAGACTAGTCAGTGAACAGCTCCGTGACACACAGTCAGATCTCGGCAGCACTAAGTGGTTATATTCTGAGCGTCTGCTATACCGCCGGCCCCTGTCCACCCCTGTCTCCACAGTGTCTGCTCATTGCTGGCCGCATGGATTTCTCTACACTGTAGAAAGTCTGGACACACTGGAGGAAAGACACTTGAAGGAGGCCCTTTGCAGGGAGGGGAAGGTGAAAACCACCAGCTATACCTACTTGCTGCAGCACTGGTATGGGGCATAGAGGGCAACTGGTCCAAAGCCACACAGCGTGGAGATGGGCGAGCAAGCAAGGCCTTGGGTTCAAGTGCTGCTGATTCCAAGCACGTGATCTCAACCTCTACAACCAAGGCTGCCCTATAACTACGGCATTGGCTCTTTTGGGTCAACCAGTGCTTCTAGAAAGCCCAGCGACTGAGTTGCTATGGCCCTACCTGAGCTGGCCAATTCTCCTCCATTGATCGCCAAGTATGGGGCTGACGGGACATCCCTCAACACTCTGATGATGGGAACAGAAGACTGGCTGTGGGTCGCCTCTCCCCCAATCACCATTTGTGGCACCCCAGTACCCTTGGCACAGAACACCCCACATAGACTGGCCCCGGATTGCCCTTCATGCATTATTTCCTGGTTGCATGGAGCCATTTGTATTGCTCCAACCCAGCAGCTCCCTTGCACTACAGGCCCACAGCAACAGAACCAAGCAGCTATGGGCTGTGTATGCATGTGTGCACGGAAGTACGGAGGTTGGTACTGGCGCCTTCCTCAGTCACTTTCTATTTTTTTTTTAAGACTAGATCTCTCGCAGGACCTGGGGCTGATGGTTTCAGATAGACTGACTGGCTGACTCATGAACCCTGGGGATCCTCCTGCCTCTGCCTCCCTGGCCCCAGGATTACAGCCATGTGCCACATTTGTTTTTGTTGTTGTTGCTGCTGCTGGGAACCAAACTCAGTCCTTGTGCATATTCAGGAGCCATTTCTCCAGCCTTCTTAAAATGATTGCTTTGGGTCTTTTGTCTCAGCCCTGGAAAGTGACTAATACACTACCCCTTGAAAGTGGGCATTTCCCAGACACGCCTTCACTGACGCTATCTAAGAAGATCTCTTTTCTTTGGACCCTGATGGTCACAGTCACGTGTAAAACTGTGGCTGGAAGATCAAGCTCCCCTGGTACAGGGTTCCATAAAGACAGCCTCCACCATGATGCTCCCTCAGCCTCCAGTTCCACACCCTAACCACTCCCCTCTAAAGCACACACACGCCCAGATACGGTTTAGAGATGCAGTCCTTGTGCAGAATACAGCTCAGCAATATGGCCCCATCAGACGTCACCTGAGCTCCATCCCAGAGGGATGAGGACATTTCACCTGTCCACACTCCATAGTCTAGGACAAACTCTTAGGCTCTGTGAACATCAGCTCTCTATAGTCAGGAGTGAAACCCAGAGGACACTGGAGAAGGGGGACTAGAAGGCCCATTTGTGCCCAACCTTGGGCACAGTGTCTCACACAGTGAAAACCCATTTGATTTCTGCATAACTTAGGCTAGGTTTTAAATGACCCTGGCTAAGAGCCATTCATAAACTTAGAAGGGCGGACATTGGGCAGAAAAGAGTGCTGACTTCCTGCATTCCGGATCCCGGGCCGCATGCTCTACCAAGGATCAGCACACACACTGGAGCCTCTCCAGTGCCAGCTGCTGCTCTAAGGGATGCGCAGATGGCTACACAGGCCTGCCTTCTCAGCACAAGCAGATTCTCGGGGGGCAGGCACATCTGGTCCCTGTAGACAGTGGACCCTGGAGGCTCAGAGCAGGAACCTGGATCAGACCCCCAAATTACCAGGAGACCTTATGTATCAACTGTATAACCCCTTTTGATTTCCAGGTCCTCGTGTGTAAAATGGAACTGTTAATGGCACAGCCTCTCGGGGACCATGTGAGAAAGAATTACACAGGATGAGGTGGGAATAATAGGACATGCTTCTTACAGGAGACATGGTGACATGCAGCAACACTCGACGAATGGTCACGGCTCAGCGCTGTTATTCTAGCAGTGAAATGGCATCCCAGGCATGGGGAGACGAGACCCCACTTAAAAGGAGGAGAGCCTATGAATGAATTTCTTCACCGTGAACTTGGATGAGCACCTTCAGTAAGGAGAGACGGCTCCGTGAGTAGAGGCACTCGCTGCCATGTCTGATGACTTGAGTCTGGCTCCCGGGACTCACACAGTAGGAGAAAGCCAACTCTCACAGGATGTCCATGTGTGTATGTGTGTCTGTGTGTGTGTGTGTGTCTGTGTGTGTGTGTAGGCAAATAAACAGTGTTTCTTTTTAAACCTGTCCTTATATTAGTTTCTTGTTTCTGCAACAAACAAGACTGGGAAATATTCCCAAGGGACCCTGCAGGGGGTGCAGAGCCTTTAAGAGGAGGAGAGAGTTGGGTCTAAGATGAGGGGGTAAGCTGAGGCCAGGGACGTCCCTAAACCAAAAGGCCAGTTCTGACTATGGACCATTCTGGATTCAGGGGCTTCAGGATGATCCGGGCCAGGCCTCTCATTTGACAGATGAGAGAAGTGAGCCCAGGGAGGTATTATGTTTTGCCCTAGGCGAGCCGTGGCTCCTGATGGGTGATCCAGGTCTGACCATGGCTCCTGACAGGTGGCTGCAAACCAAATTCTTTGGTTCTTATACGCTTTTCTCAACCTCCCACAGACGCCAATGGGCCTCCTCATCCACCCTCCTTCCTCAGCTCTGCTTAAGAGACGAAGCCAGGTCACATGCCAAGCAACTTCAGACCCAGGATCTATTTGATTGGTACCAGAGTAACCACCTGACCTGCATAGGCCAGTCAGATATGTCATGGAAATGAAACCAATTTGCTAAGGGAAACAGGACGGAAAGATCTTTGCCATCCACTCAGGGGTGCGATGGGCATTGGGACAGGCCCATGCGCAGTGAGGGGACTATCCATCTAGGGGAGGGAGGAGGTGAGGCTCCCTGGGTCCTCTCTACACTGATCCTCACATACCCCTGTGGCTACTGTGTGTGGGACCTGACTTGTGAGGTGTTTCTCACAGACACCTTCTTGTTCTATGAGTCTTAGCTCTTTGCTCCCACTTGACACATCTAGAACATGCCTCGAACATGTGTGAGGGCTTCTTATTCCCAGACAACACCACAGGCTCCCCCACTTCTCCTGCTGGAATTCTTCCCTGTCAGTGCCCACAGTCAGCACAGAAATCTAAGCACCTGACCACTACTCCCTGGTCACGGCTCAGCCAGGGCTCCCTGGACGTGACTCAGAGGCTCCAGCACTCATTCGCTGACTATCCCTTCTGAATGTGCAGATCAACACAGATCACTGCAATGATTCACACGGCCATGGCAGGTGACAGAATGAGCAAGAAACAGCCTGATCATGCACTTGTCACAGTCAACCTGGAGTGACGATGCTTCTATAGCCCTTGTCCTTTCAAACCTCAGGCTGTCCCTTTCAGCAAGTGGCCATACCACATAGGTCACAGGCAGGGCAGGCCTCCGCCTCCTCCAGCCCCCATTTAAGCTCCACATCACTTGCGATGGGCCGGCTGTAAATGGGCCACCCTGTGCAATTCTGAGACAAATAAATCTTGTTGCTACTCCTTGGGGTGACAAGGGAATAGACTCTGGGAAAGTTCTGCCGTGCTCGGGATCTTGTTCGTTAATAATAATGATGAATGGCTTGCTTCTCCCATGCAGGCTGAGCTACATTCTACTCCAGGCTTCTCTGGAGGTGGCTTAGGGTGCTCACTGGAACAGAGCAGGGTGGGGGGGGGGCTGTACACCGCCAGGGAGAGAGGCGAGGCGGGGGTGGGGAGGGGACGACGCGCGGAAGGTTGGAGATAAAGAGAGGAGAGAACGATGAGAGAAAAAGCCAAACAGACACAAAGAAAAGATGGGATGGGACAGGGAAAGGGACAGCTGGGACCCAAAGGAAAAAAGGGAATCAGAAGGGAAGAATGTCCTGGAGGAGCCAGGGCCAGGGCACAGTTGTTGGGACAGAAATCAAGAGCGCAAGGAGACACTATGGAGGAAAAGTTATAAACAAAGGAAATGAACGGAGAAAGTATCTGGCTAGAGAAATAGCTCATTTAGTAGAAGCGCTTGCCCAGCATGCAGAACCCTGGGTTCGATCCCCAGCACTGCAAACATCAGCTGTGGTGGTGCACACT